TAGATCAAATTAAATTAATATAATATTTTAATTCTTAACTAATTATAAAAAAATTTATTTTATTATTATCTTATTATATCTAGCTAATGATATTAAAACTTTTTAGTTATTTATATATTTCAAAAGAATAATTTCTTAAGAAATTTAATATTTGTAAAAAAAAATTATAAAAAAATATATAAAATCAATAAAGTCTATTAGATAATCTTTTGATTTCTTTTAATTAATTAATATATTAAAAATAAATTTGTTAAAAAACAATTAGTAAAAGATGATTTGAACTTATACATATAAGTTAATAATAAATTGTATAAAGAAAGAATTTTTATTAACTTTTATCTTTTGGGTTGTATATATAATTTGATTAAATCTTAAGATTAATTTTCTTCATATGCTTTTACATAATCTCCCATCTAATCGGGATCATCACATTGCCAATCAATTTTTGATAACATCGTATTTCACATGAAAGAAAAAATTATATTTGCTTTTATAATTATATTATGTAACGATTATAAAGAAAAAAAATTTATTGATATACATTTTTCCGACGGGCCATTCGCGATTATAAATGTAACGAATAAATGTATCAGAAATAACTTCATCCTTAAAGTTTTCCAAATGGAAATGGAAACCGCATCATCACCTTTATTAACGCTAAGTGTGTGGTCATCCTACATTGCAATAAATTTTACATTAGCGTTTTTGACTTATGTAGCTCACTGGCCTCCTAAAAGTTGGAATTTTTGGATTAATGTTGTCACAACCACAATTGGAACGGTCTTCAATGAGTTCCCTTTTTATATTATCTCATTTAAAGTTTGGATGTGGTTTGCAGTGATTATTATGGACGCTTGGATTGTTGTTTCATTTTGTACGTAACCAATTGAGATATATATATATATAATTTTGGGATAAGAAACAAGTGTATCTGACTTTCATCATTTATTCGTAATAGCCAAATCACCTTTAATACTCTTGCTAGCGTTTACTTCGGAAATATTTACTACGTCAATCTTATCACATAATTTTTATAAGAATTATAAATCTCGTCGAATCGTACATGCATATACTCATACATTTGAACGTTACGGTCCCGAATTACCCAATATCGCGTCGTAAGTTAATTGTGAAATGTACCAATATGCTCAAATTAAATGTAATGCGCAGTAAGTTAAATCAATTTTGATTTTTTAGAACGAATTTTTGGCTTCGTTTTATGTTGCCAATTTACATTCCAACAAACGTTAAAGTATTTCGAAATAGTAAGTGTCACACGTAAATAAAAAAAAAAAAAAAGAAAAGGTGATGGGGGAAAGAAAAAAAATTTCATGTGGTGATATTTGATTACTCCTTCCCTAACGAAATATCTCTCTTTTACGCGTATGAAAGTTACATATGGAACACTACAAGAATTACAAGAGATTGGTAAAGAAAATGCATCATATTTAAAATTGGATGTTTATGTACCAAAACATGTAAAAAAAGCTGATCGCCGTCCAATAATGCTCTTTATACATGGCGGTAGTTGGATAGCAATGGATAAATCAATACCATTCCCGCAACCATTTTATTTATCAAGTAATGGATGGATAGTATGTTCAATTAATTATCGTTTAGCACCGAAAAATCCTTATCCTGCTTGTTTAATTGATTGTAAAAGAGCGTTAAGATGGATTAAAGAAAATATTGCTTCATATGGGGGGGATCCAAATTTTGTAGCGGTTTCAGGTGATTCGGCTGGTGGTCATTTGGCTGCTTTGATGTCTCTTACTGCGAATGATAAATGTTATCAACCAGGATTTGAAGAGGTTGATACTAAAGTACAAGCATGTGCTTGTATTAATGGTGTTTATGATGTTACAAATAAACATAATGCTTTCACTCCTTTATTTACTAAATGGTTTGTTAAGGAAATTTGTGGTAAAAGCGGTGATGAGGATGAAAAAGATGTTCGGGACATGTTGGAAAATGCTTCTCCTGAAATTTTAGTAGAGAGAAAAGGTAATAATAATGATGAAAAAATCGTACCTTTCTTGGTATTCCAGTAAGTAGTACATTTTATATGATTATTTGGAAAAGTGCAATATTGTAACGTTGATGTGTTGAAAGAAATTTTTTGGAGAGAATAACCTTGCATTTTGAATTAACCATCACTTTTTTCACCTTTGTAGTGGAGACAATGACCAATTAGTAAACATAAAGAGTTGTAGAGAGTTTATAAAAACTTTTCGTAAATATTCCCCTAAATCCGACCTAGTTTACATAGAATTTCCGGTAAGTAAACCAATAAATGAATTGTCATTATAAATTATTTTATTATTATTATTTCTTTTTTGTTAAAACAAAAAAATTTAATTCATACTTTCTTCATGTTTGCTTAAGGGAGCGCATCATGCATATCATAGTGTATCATCTCCACGTACCCATTATTCTTTGATAGCTATGTTACGTTTCTTAAATTGGGTTTATCATACTTCAAGTTCTAATAATATTACAACAGATTTTAATGGGAAAAAAAAATTAATAAATGGTAAAAAAGGATAATTTTGTAAAAAGAAAAAAAAAGGTTTTGAGAAAATCTTTACTATATATAAATCAGTTGAAGAAGACAAATATAGATTTAAGAGTTTGGATAACTTTGTACCAATAATTTAGTCTTTTTCTATACATATTAATTCTATAAGTATAGTGTTCTTTATTATAACAGTTATCTTTAAATCGATACAAAAACGAATATGATATATACAACAAAGTTTTTATTAAATAAACTACAGTTGTATATAAAAAGTGCAAATCATCCTCTAGTTTTACTTGTTTTTTTTAGTAATATCTTTACCGGGAAACCAAGGGATTAATCGACTTGTGTTTTTTCGATATGATTCATACATTGGATATTTATTCTTAGTAATAATTTCAGTTAAATGAGTGGTAATTTGAAATAATATGGTCAAACTCAAGGTTCCAACGATTGTCCAATTCAATATCCATTGTAATTTGGAAGATGAGGGTACCGCAGCGACGGAAAATAAGTAATAACTCCACCAAACTCCCATCTCACAAAAATAATTTGGGTGCCTATAGAGTGTATAAATAAAACCAAAGCATTATAACTTCAAATCAAATTTCTAAAACAAACTCTCTTTTGGTTTTGACAATTACCTTGAATAACGGAATAAGCCATGAATTAGAAATCCCAAAGAGTAATCTCCTTCGAAAATTGTTGTTTCCTTTAATAAATTTTTATTGGCATTGGCAATTAACTTACGCTTTTCACTTTGAAATTTCCATTGTTGATCATCGGCAATCAATTCACCCGTAAGAAATCCAACAAACATTATACTAGCAAATAAATCCCATAAATTCAACGGTGATGTGGAGGCATTGTACCAAACAACATAAGATGGTAATGTCATGGCCAATAAAAGAAAACATTGAAATAATGATGTAAATATAATATTTGTGATTTCGAATATGCTCCAATGAATATGTTGTTTTAAGTATGCCCATCTACGGTTTACAGTAAAGAATAAGATATTTAAGTAAATGTTCTTAAGTCTTAAGTAAATATAAACATTACCTATAATCTTCACTTTCCCATTTATAACCACCTTTCCGTGCGTAATTATACGTCAAACGCGCTCCCCAAATTGTAGTAAGCGAACCAAGTATGATACCACGTGCATTCAGATATCCGTGAAGAATAAAATGCCACGTAAAAAATACAGGGAGTATACTCCAAAGTCTATCAACCTTAATTGGATAAAGGAGAAATCATCAGATAAAATTAGAGATCGATATACGATACTTCCTAGAGAAATTTCCTCTGAGAAGTATATAGTCAATTACTAAATTTAACGACTAATTAATAAACCGAGTAAATTTTCTAGATTATATTGTTATGTAATATATCAAATGAATCAAAATAGATCTCATTCAATTCAAGTTAAGAAGAAAACAAACTCGCACTGGTATATACCTGAGAAAAGTTCCTAGTAATAATACTTAATACCCAGGTCCAGAAAGCAAAAGCAAGACATAAAGCGATAGCTGACACAAGTGGGTCAGAGTATAGATAAAGTTCTTTTACCGACCAAACCAAGCCTTTAGTCTTATATGCTGAATCCAATTCGTTAAAGTTCGTAACGTTTTTGATAAATTCATCAAAAAGTGGTTTAACATGATAAGCAAAAGTTGGGAAATCTGCCATGATGAAATAAATGGTTTAGAGTCGTGGTTCCAAAAGGAAAAAAACTCGCAATATTAGAAAAGAAAATTAACCAAGGATAAAAAAATAAACACGAACTTATTAGTGACGTAAAAATTAATTCAAAATTTTAGTGTAATTTATCTTACATAAGCAACCTCACGTGCTGGAATCTTCAAGTTTGGCGCAGAATCGTAAGGAAAAACAACAATAATTTTTTCGGAGTAGAATTCTGTTGAGAAGAAATTTAATGAAAAGAGTGAATCAAAATCATTGCCTTGTTTTATTTTTTTCATTTATTTTAATTTTTTTTACCTCTGCTATTCTCAAAATAGAATTCATATTATAATATGGTAGGAAAAAAAATCAAAATTTTGTTAAAAAATTCTCGGAACCTGCAACCTTCCCATACATTCTCTTTATGATTTATGTTGGTCTTTGTTTTACAAAGTAAAATTTGATAAATTAATCGGAAATTTGGAGTTAAAATGTCATATATTTCACTCATTCTTTCACGTGTATGCTATAAATTACCTTAAAAAAGTCGTGGGAACGACCAATTTTTTTTTGGTCGCCCTTGTCAACTTAATCAGCCAATCAAAAGAATTCAATGGACCATTTATTTTAATCGTGGCTTTAATTTCCATTTAAGTTATCAGATCTTCATAATGATTACATACCAATTATGGTAAAACACGCGTTCGAATTTTTGAACCACTCAATGACGACTTTTATTTTACCAAGACACTTGTATTTTGATTAACCAAAAGAGCGCTTTGCGGTTGCAAATAAAATGACTTCAAGTTTGAAAGGGATAGAAGAGTCACCCACACTACAACAAGTAAGTCAAGAGGATCAACAAGTAGATCAGCGATCCTTTGATACTCAACCTGAGCAACAGGGAGAGGAAGTAGTTCTACAGCATTCTATAGTTGCACTTCCACTTCCAGCTTCTACCTCAACAACAACACAACCAACCTCACCTTCTGAACCCCAACAATTTTCAGGTTATTTAACAGATAACGTATGGTATGAAGTATTTCGTCAACTGCATTGTGATCTAGGAGAATATCTTTACAGTTGTTTATTAGTGAATACTCAATTTTTTCGCAATGCAGTACCATTTTTTTGGAGAGACGTGCAAATAACATATTTTAGTCAACTTACTTCTTTTGTCCGTATTCTTGAGTCCAAAAATCAAACATTACCATATGCAAGATACATTAGAACTATTTATATAGCAGCTAGAACTCCACGTACGCCAAATAAAACTCGTTCAGCTGAATTGGCAAATTTATTATATAAATTGGCTAGTATAGATGTTAATTGGAGATTATTATCGTTTACATTGGATTTAGATTGGAGAGATTGCGGAGAATCTACCATTTGGACTAATTTTTTTGCTAAATTTGGAAAACATTTGGAACATGTTGCTTTACATGGTTCTTCCCCTTTCTTGAGCGATGCTTTATCTTTTTCAATAGGAGAATTTTGTCCTAATCTTAAATTTCTTACTTTGGTAAATTAATTGCGTTCCTTTTTTTTTTTAAAAAAAAAAAAGACAAAGTTCTTTTTTAACTTTATTTTTATGTAGGAATCGCGATATTTTAACGGTTATGGGATTCTTAATATAGCCGAAAAATGTCCTCTCACAGAATTAAGTATTTGGTGTCGTCAAGTAACAAGTTCTGTCATTTTCGTATGTATCATATCGAGAACTTTTTCTTTCAAAATTTAATTTTTATTTATTTTTTTTATTTATTTTTTTAGTCAATTATTCAAGGAAGATGTTCTCAAACATTACAAAGATTAACAATAAAGAATTGTGATCTTGATGATAAACCTTTGTTAAGTTTAATAACAACACCAGAAGGATACGATGATGACAATATACCTAATACAAGTAGCAATGAGAATATAACACGAACATCATATTCTTCCTCTTCTTCATATAAAGACAATTCATCAAAAATATCATTATTACCAAAATTAAAATCATTTTATTTTATACAATCATATGCATTTTCACCTAATGCATTGACTTCTTCTGGTTTATTAAGATTATTGAGTACGTGCCCAAATTTAACAGAATTAACTTTGGTAGTATCAAATTCTTCAAAAATTGTTAATGATATTTCAATAGAAAAAATTATTAAAAGATTACCTTTAGATAGTTTTGAAATTGTCAATCCTTACAGTAATCAACTACCCTTTCATCATTTAGACCATTTTGATGTTACTGTTGAAGGACTTAAAATGGCTATTAAACATAAACCTGATTTGAGGCTAAGAGTTGGTGCTTTTGATAGTATGATATCATAAAAATTTAAATGGAATGCTTATTAGCTTTAAATCTTACATTTTTTTTTTTTTAAAAAAAAAAAAATTTGAATAGACATTATTTATTTTATTAAAATTTTGACTTGTTATATACAGTATATATATATATATCATGTTACATTATAGAATTCTTTTTTATCATTTTACATAATACAATTAGAAAAATAAAGTTATCGAATTAATAAATAAAATTTTTGGTAAGAATTCTAGTATTAATTAGCATTTTATTAATAAAATTAAATCTTTAAATAATTATAATATCGTCTATACTTTTTTTGATATAATCTAGAGGACATGCTTTTAATAATTAATTATCCAACTAAATTATGATCAATACAACAACTAATTTCTTCAACTTCCAATTTTATTGATTATTCTTATGAAGTCTTTGATATTGTTGTTGAATATTTTTCTTCATATTCTTGTGTTTTCCCCAATTGTTTTTAAGAATCCTACAAGAAAATTTCGGTTTTAATTAAATCTAATTTTGTAAGATTACTCAAGTACATGATATTTTACCTCATCCTTTGAATAGCAATAACAGCATTAACAACACCCCGGAACTTGACAAGCAAAGGAGAAGGTTGTATGTAGGCACTTCGCGACGGATTATGGATATTCTGAATCAAAAGTAACGTTGCTTGTTCACTAAATATTTATGATGATTAGCAGGTTGTCAAAAAAAAAAAAAAGATTTATTCATAGAAATGAAAATTAAATTAGATTATAAACTTAGAGAATTACCACGACTCACTGCCACCAATAAGTAGCATTAAGAATTTTTTTTGATAACATAAATCGGCCCGAAACCCAGATTCCCTATGACATTTAGCTTTAAGAAATTTTACTTCTTTAAAAAGAAGATTACAATCATCAACGTGCTGCCTTTTTTCGTCTTTATATTTTTGTTTAAAATAGTCATCCTTTTTTACAATAAGAAAATAAATATTATTTAATAACCGTATTCATAAATGAATATAATATATGAATTCCTTCTTTACCTCTTCGTTATTAGCAGTTTTTTGTTGGCCGTTAACTTTTTGGTCAATCCTATTAAAAATTAATAACAAAAAAATAAAATATTGTCTCGATAATTTTAAACTTTAATTCTTTTGAACTTACATTTCTTTTCTTACAGCTTTGATCTGTGCATCAAGTGTTTGCAAGTCGTCTTTTAATCGCTTATTTTCTTCAATTATTTGGAAAATTTGTTCATTATCGTATGGCTGCATGAATAAATGATTGAATTAGTTCTATATCCTACTGTAACATCAATAAACTTCTAATACTTGCTGTAGACTTATTTTTTTCCAACTTAGCTACTTTAACCATTAGCTCCCGATAACGTTCCTGTTCCGACTGTAATTGATCTTCGTAATAAGACAACTGTGTGTTCTTTTCTTGATGATCGCGACGTTCAGATTGCAACTGTTCGGTGATGTTTTCGATTTCAACTTCAAGTGCCTTCATATGCTCATTTTTAGCACGTAAATCTTCTTCCAGGGAATCTTTTATCTATAATAAATATATCAATAATTATTTTTTAAACAATGCAATTATATATACCATAAATACTTACCTCATAGGCGACTCTATTTTGGTTTTTCAAGGAAGTTATTTCCTTAAGAGCGTTATTCTTGACCCTGTTTAATTGAACCTTTGATTCTTGTTCTTGTTTAAGAGCTGCCTCAAGATCAACAATTTTCTGATTTGCTTTCTCAACCGTAACATCTCTCTCTGAAAATAATATCAATCAATTTCTACAAACGATCCTTAATATAATGTAAATTTTCTTTACGCTAGCTATATTTACCTTTTTGTAAAATACGGAGTTGTTTGTTTAATTCTGCAGATGAAGCTTGCTTGGATTGGTATCTAACAGATTCCTTTTCCAAATTTTCAAGTTTTTGTTGCAGTTCTGTTTTGTCTTTGGTTACGGCAGTTTTTTCTAACGTTAAGCTCCTTTTTTCTGCATTGATAGACGAAATCTCATTATCCAAGTCTCGGATTTTGGAGGTTAGTTTTTCGATTTCCTAAATAATATATCAAAACTTCATTCAATAAACAAAATTCAATATTAGAAGGAACACTTATGATAATGTTTACAATACAAACCCTTTGTAAGCCTTTGATTTCTTTCTGATGAGTTTCTTTTATTACGCGATTCTTTTTAGCAATTGATTCCTTTTCTTTCCGCCACGCATCTTGAAGCTTATTATGACCGGCTTCTATATCTGCTAATTGTTGTACTTTTGTATTTTTATTGGCTTCTTGTAGAGTTTTACGCTCCTTAGTCCAACGATGTTTCAAAGCTTCCAAATCTGCTTTATGAGTTTCGATTAAATCCGCCCAATCTCTTTTCAATTTCTCATATTGTTGAACTTGTTCTTTAAGGGCTGCTTCAGATTTTTGATATTTTTCTTCAAACTTTTCTGCTTGAATTTTAAAATTCTGAAGTTTTTGTGAGGAACCATTTACCTGCGCCGTTAAACTTTCAATTCGTAATTTCATTTCTTTCTCTTTACTTGAACTTGATACCTTAAGATCCTTAAAAACTTCCCTTAAAGATGAGTTGATATTAACTTCTTGTAGCCAAAGATTATAGAATTCCTCGCATTTAGTTAACAGATTATATTTATCGTCAGAATCCGTCTTGCCCTGATCAACATTCTTTAATTTAGTCAAAGTAGCCAGTGTAGCCCTTAATGATTTTACCTGTTCATCTTTCTGTTTAGACAGTTCAATATTGGCTTCATATTCTGCAATTATTTGCGTTTGAGTTACCACCAATTTTCGTAATTTTTCGATTTCTTTTTGATGATTATCAATTTCTTGAACAACCAAAATAGAAGCACTGCTATTTGAAATTACGTGATCTTCAGCCGTTAAAGTTGATAGTAACGAAACTAATTCTTTAATTTGTAATGATAATTGTAAATTTTCCGTTGCCAATTCATGGCCATTTGTAATTAAAATATTGATTTGGTTCTTTGTCTCTGAATTACCACCATCCAGGAGCTTACGACTTGCCGTAAAATCTAAAAGAATTTGAAAAATTTGACAAATAAATATGTGATAATTAATAAAATAAGAATAATAAATTTTTTAAAATACCTTTTAGCAGTTCTTGATGTGATTTAGAACATGCTTCAAACTTCTTTACATATTTTTCTAATATAGGGGCCAATTCCTTAAATTTGTGAATACCATCTTCTATGTCTGATTTATCGCGATCTTGATCTAATATTACGGATGCAAAGTTGTCAATCTGAGACACAAACTGCGCTGGCGATTTGATCATCTCATTTCCAGCTCTAATTATCGCATGTAAATCTTGACGTTTAATCTCAACCGTATCAGCCAAATTGCTGTTTGTAGTATTAGAATATTTGCTTAGTCGAGAATTAAACCGACTTTGTCTCTTAGAGGGTGTATCAGAAAGAGAAGCTTCGATTAGACGTTTCAAAAGTCCAGCATTGTCTTCAATAACTTTTTGCATATTTGCAGTTTGGTGATATAATCCTTCTAACAAGGATTGAACGTTTTGACCCGAAAATGTAGCATCGTCTTGGTTTAGACTACTTTGAAAGAGATTATTTTGTTGTGCGAAAACTCGTATAAGTTCATCCATATATTTAATGGTCTGGAGATTGTTTTTAAGAGTCGCATCGATATCTCCTTCCAACCTATTATAAAATTCAAAAAATAGTTTCAATTAATTATAAACCAAATGTTATTTTAACAAATCCATAAACAAATATAATTACATAATACTACGATTAGATGCTCCGTTATTTAGAACATCTGGTGTACTATCATCAGAGTTAAGACCACAACGGAAACATATTCCATTTTGTAATTGTGACTCAAGGTCAACGACATGTTGTTGTTTACGTATCAACTCATCTCTCAACATGACGATTGTTTTATCTATGCTTTGTATACATTCTTCCATGAAATTTATTTTTCCTCGGGCATCTTCAAGTTTCTGAGAAAGATTTTGAGCCGTAAACATTGCTTTCTCGAAGTCAAAATTCTTAGTCTCCAACTGTTTATGTAAATTGTCTACTTGTACTTTTAGCGCTTTCATATCAGGCTGGATTGACCTAATACTTGTTCGACGAGGAGTAAAGGTCGAACGTCGATTTGCTGCAAATTCACCATTACAGAAGAAGGAAAGGTCTGTTGACAAGGTTATATCCATGACCTGCATTTAAGTAAATAAATTTTTTAAGAAAATATAATTAAAATTTAAGAATGTGATTTCATAGAACTACATACCTTATCATCTGAAGTGTCCATCAATTCACTAATGCCTTCAACGATTTCACCTCGAATTCTTTCACCAGAACTTAATGAAGTAGATTTATTCTTCCTATCAAAAGATTTGCTCTGTTCCTTCATTAATTCATCCTCTCGCGACATTAAAATTCGTTTAAGTTCGGCATTTTGAAGTTTAAGTTCCTGGATTGTAGCGGCATTGACGCTATCTAACGCCTTCTGTGCTGCCTCAGAAAGTTGATATCTCAACTTGCCATTCTCAACATTTGCTTTGTCAAGTTTATCTCGCATATCTTCAATCATTTGTTCATATTGAACAACTAATGAATTACCACCTGAGCTTATGGTACTATATGATATGCTACCAGCATTTTGATCCTTATGATTGCGAACTTCCTGATGCAATTGTCCAATCATTAGACTTTTTGATTTCATCTCCAACTCATTTAATTCAAGCTTGGATTTGAGTTCTGCGATTTCAGCCTCCCGTTCCATCAACTGTTTTTTTGTAGTGTCGGAAGAAAGCCTTAATTTATCTAACTGTGATACTTGATCTTTTTGAGAAACTAGTTCAGACTCGAGAGAGGCACATTGAGTTCGAAGTGCTAAGACTTCACTTTTCAATCTTTCTTCGTCTTCCGATCCCGTATGTATTGGTCCATTACGATTATGTAAGCCTTGAGTCGATTTGGACTGTAACTCTTCAAAATTTTTGACCAAGCCAGCCATTTCATTCAATTGAATTTCAAGTCGCTGGATTTTATCATTAGCTACAAGAAGATCATCGAAAAGACTAGAATTTTTTTTTTTAAGGTTCTCGCTTACGTTTCGAAGATGTAAAAGGATCTCTCTTGCTTTAGCAGCATCACTAGAATTTTTACTTTTCGGTTCAAGTTCTTTAACTTCATCAAAGACATCTTTCAATTCTTGTAAATATTGTCCCATATACGCGATCTTCTGTTCCATTTCTTCATTTTGTGTGATAAGAAATTCTACATCATGTTCTCTTGCTTTAGCTTGGGATTCCAAACCATCTCTTTCTGCCTTCAATATTTCATTTTCTTCGAGCAACCTTGACATTTCTTCTGAATAATTAGAGCGAACCGCTGAGAGTTGGATTTTCTGTTCTTCCAAACGCTCCTGTGCCGATGTGATTTTTTTTGCTGTTAATTCAATATCTTCGGCGATATCACTAAGCTGAGACACCAATTTATCTTGTTCCAACGTCAAAGTATCCTTTCGGGATTGTAATTCACTTCTTTGATTTTCAAGATGTCTCTTTTGTTTTTCCAGGTTTCGGTTCAATTCACCGAGAGACTTAAAGCGAGATTCAAGACTTTTATTTTCTCTTTCGTAATCTATCATATATTCGGCGCTTTGACCGCGAGCGGAAGCTAATTGTTCGGTGAGCTGACCAACTTCTCCTTCAAGATCATTTATTTTCTTATTAGCTATCTCTTTCTGAGAGACATGTTCAGCTTCTAATTGCTTGTAGTCGACCGTTAGACGGCTGACTTCGCTTGTAAGCTTCGTATTAGCTTCAATTAGCTTTGCTCGTTCTAAATTGAACTTTGCGACTTTATTTTTTAATTCTTGATTTTCTTCTTCAGATACTTCCCGATCCTTTATTGCAGAAGAATAATCTTCCGCCATTTTATGAAGACGTGTCTTGTATGAGTTAACTAGTTCATCTCCATCGCGGCGTATTTCTTGAAGTTGTTTTTCTAATTTTTCAACAGTCTCAGAAGTAGGCGTTCCTTGATTTTCTTCATTATTTGCGAGCATCTCCTCTTGGAACAGCTCCTTTTCCGTTTCCAGGATTTCTAACTTTTCTTGTAGATCTTCGTTAGATCTTTTTAATAAGTGATTTGATTCTTTGCAATGATTCAACTCATTCTCAGAAGTTCTTAGTTTTGTGAGAAGAGATACAACATAAGGATGGGATTCTATTGTGCCATAACCAAAATCCCCACTTTCCGGAACCATTTCTTCTTCAGAATCTTGAAAGTTGTACTCCTCATGGTCTATATTTTCCTCGAGATACCTTAAGTTGATTTTATCTAATTCGTCGTCGGTATGCTTTTCATCGTCTTGTTTGACGCTAGGAAGTTCATCCTCAGCGAAACCTTTTCCTTTATTATATGAGATAAATGTTTTGAAATTGGGTGAAGCAAGATCGTCTAACGTAAGTAAACTGTTAATGTTATTACCCAGGTTGCTTTCCATTTTTATTATAAAATTATTAACGAAATTTTATGTGGTTTATAAGGAGGTTTTTTTGCTTTTAAAGAAAAAAGCAATTTTTTTTTTCGAAGGAGGTATGATTTTGTTACGAAAAGTGTTTTTTTCGTGGTCGACTAAAAAGTGCTAATTTTAAGTGAATTTTTTTTGTTTATTCGTGTTGTGAAAATTTTTATTCCTGAATTTTTTGGTTGCTCAAAAATTCTTTTTGAGGTGAACGCGTTTATTTTACGTTTTTTTCAAGTCATTACAAGTGAAATTGAGAACGTTTATTTTTTAGATAAACTCCAAAACTCGAATTGAATAAACAAATGTAATGAGAGTCACATGAAAGGTGAATGGCTAAAACATTACTTTTATGCACAAAATGTTACACTTTACTGATCATTCGGGAGGACTTTCACGTAATTGGCTGATCCATTACAGTATATAAAGTATATAAAAGTACTTTTCGAGATTTTGAAAAAGAATCTGAAACCACAAATTAGACTATTATGTTCCTAGATTATGTATAAAAAAATGATATAAATGGCTTAAATTGTTATAATGAAATCGTAACATGTTTAAACATGAATATGATAAAATTAAAATATTTACTCAAACTTTTTATCAATTTTCAAAGCATGAAGAGATGAGAGATTGCTAATCTTCTTTCATTTTTTTTTTTGATGTTCTAATCAAAGCAGTTCAGACATTTGAAATTCGTCTATATATTTTTTAAAATTGCATTTTGTATAGCAAACTGGATTGTGGTCTCAGATATAGCTATATCTAAATTTTTGTAAAAATGCAAGTAGAATCCAAATATATATCTAAATTTCTATTTGTAATGAATTTATTTTTGATTTTACAAAGAAAATAGCATACAAATAAAAGTTGCATCCAAAATTAAACTAGGTAAAAAAAAAATAACTTTTGTTTTAAAATTCATTAAAAGAATACAACGTGATTTTTTTTATTTTACGAATATATTAGTACTCTTTTTATTTTCAGATTATTCTTCATATAGCAATTTTGCATGCAATTTATAATGATATAATGGTAAGTTTGAAATTTTCATTATTTAAACTACATGAACTACATATTTGTGTAACGGCTTTAGTGTAACGGAACAGAAATCCATTTTTTTTTTTTTTACGCGTTTATTTAGAATACGCTTTTTTTTTCGCCGTAAAAATTATGTACATAATATAACTCTAAAATATGTCTATATAAAACATGTTACCGCGCGTGAAATAGTTATTATATTCATTCTAGAAATTGTTTGTATGAAAAAAAAAATTGGTTAGAATATATTTAATATATCTTTGATCATTAGAATGATCTTACGTGCGAATATATCGTTTTAAGGTTGATTCTTCCTTTTTTATTATTTCTTTTTTTTTTAAGAAAATTTATCTAGTTTTCGTCGTTGAAAAAAAAAATTGACGAAATTAAAAATTGCGAAAAGAACTAAAAAACACGTTACATAATCAAAAATCTAGAATATATGGAAAATATTACCATAAATAGTGTTCGTAATGAAGATCATGAAGATCTTCGAATCCCACAATTTCAACATTTCAAACATTTCAATATAAATAAGCACAGAAACCATCTATCAGTTCCTCAGTGTTCTCGTGAAGTAGACGATGTCTATAGGCTGACTTTGGTCCCCATGTCTTCGGATAGGGCGACTTTGGTCTCCAAGTAGTCTAGTCTTATTTCATAAGGTTTATACGCTCCCTCTTGTGAAGGAGACGATGTCTATAGGCTGACTTTGTCGTTCAATAAAGGTCGACATTTGATCGGCCAAGTAGTCTAGTCTTTTTTCATAAGTGGTAATATTTTTTTATATTAAAAGCGGGTGGGGTGATAGCGGGAAATGTATGGTATACTGAAAATTATTTTATTGATCCGGGTAATAAATATTTCATGTAATCCAATATTGAATAAAATCGCTTAACTTGTGCTTTTATAGTCGTTTCAATTAAAGTTCATTGTAGTTTTGGGAATCCTTTTGTTTGATTTGTTTCTAAATTTGAAAACGAAATGAAATTTTATTGTTATTAGCTTTTTTTTAAAAAAAAAAAAAATATGAAATTAAAAAACAATTCTATCACGTTGGAAACGGACCAAAATTTGTTTAATGGTTTTTTTTTTACGAATGGTTCAAGTAATTCTCTAGAACTTTAATATGTTAATTTATAAAGACTCTTAAGTGGGTTATTTCTTTAGCAGTTGTTCTATTTTCATTATTCATTTTTATAATAATTTATCAAAATTTGTTAATTAATATTTTAATCTTTGGTGTTGAATTTACGAATTTAAATATCCTATTGACAGAACAAATCAGATACCTATTATTGGAGATAAAACGAAAATTTTTTATTCTCAGAATATTCCTTGCCTAAAGAAGTAAAACTTGTAACAAGCAAAAAAAAAAAAACATATATATATGTATTTTTTTTTTATTAAATTGAAATGAAAATGTTGATTTCCTTTTTTAATACATTCCGCATCAAACAGAATCACTTTTTTATTATTTATCTACAAAGAGAAATTCTAAAAAAAAAAAAAAAAAAAAAAAATTCATCGCGTAAATCGTAATCAAATACATTGCACGTGATTTTGCAACGAAATTTATCCGACCAATACAATACCATAACGTCACAATAACAGCATAATCCTGCTAAGGATGATGTCATCGATCCCTTCTCTACTTAAATAAAAATATTAAACTTCCATCTGTTACAACCCATTTATTTGTATGTTTCCACGGTCCAGGATTATACTAATTTGTGTTTTACCAAGACTAACGTTTGGTCCTTTATCGTTACATTGTGAGGCAATGATTTTTCGATCTATGCCATTTCTACATCCTCTTACCAATAAGGTGAAATTCCATCAATCCAACGTGACATACGTTTAACTTGCGTATTATAAATTGAAGAATTTCTTTTCAAAGACGTAGGATCCCTTCTCAACTACGGGTTTTTCGTTAGAGGGTAGGGCAAGATTTCTCATTAAATAAAACCTTTCTAACTGATCAACCGTCGATTGTTTTGATATTCGTTTTAATGGACGAACTTTAGTAAAATATTCATCCGAAGGTATGGTAAAAAAATCTAATATGTGGAATGAAATCCTTTATGCGTTCTTTTATTACATTAAAATCTAATTCTTTCCATTTACTTTTATCTTATTCGATTATACAAGGTGTTTGTTCTATCCCCATTTAAAACTACATTATGCCATATTTCGGCCTCTGGTAAACTGAATCGTCACGTTTAATTAATTCCAATAAAAAAAGTCCTTATCTATTTTATGAAAATGTTATAATTGAATAAATGTGTTTTCGAAAATCCAATTTAATTTTAATTTTAACAATTGGTCTTTTGAACCGGTAATCGGTTTTAAACTAATTTATGGGTTGAATAGTTAAATAACCAAAACATTTTTTTTTTTTTAAGCTAACTTCATTTTTATTAAATTAAAAGGACAAAAAAACTACATAAATATCTTGATCTTTAAAAACATTTCAACATAAATTATTAAATTATCTTAACATCTCTTCTCAAGATTATTAAATTATTTTAACATCTCTTCTCAACAAAAGTATATTATACAGACTACTAATAAAGGACCTTTGCTTTATAATCAAAGATTTTCAATTTACACTTTAAAAGAATAAAGTACCAACAGAAACGAAACCAACAATGGCAATCCAACCTAATTGACCAGGTCCAATTGACATTGAAGATAACGGAGTTTTATTACGTAATGAACTTGCAGCGTCAGATGTTTTATTTGGAGCATTATTCTGTTCGGTACCGGGCAAAGGACCTTCATAAAACCAATATTCGGCCTCATATGTAGTTATTTTCGTTGATTTGTCAGTATATTGAACTCCACCTAGACGATAAAGAATAAAAATTAATTAAAGATCGCAAGGAGGAAACAAATGATAAAAGATAAACCATAAATTATTTACATTCATTCTTAGGAGGAGCAACTCCACCATTTGTATTTAACCTAAGGACATAAGATATAGTGCTAAATCTACCACCTTCATCCCTTTGCTTTAAAATGATAAGAATAATAAACAATAAATAACGATTATACGGAAAATAAAAGTACCAAATCTCATACACTTACCGTAGCAGCATATAATTCCCAAGGTAAGTTTGCATCACCTTGAGATGATGTATTTACGGATTTAGCAGTTAATTTGGTGGTATCATTTTTAAGTAAGGCTTCCCAAGTATAATTTCCACCATTCACCGCTATAAAAATGAAATAATTTTTCGTCGTTATCATCATCATAAAATAAAACACATAACATAACATCTTTTTGTTGAATATAGAATGAGCTTACCTGGGTTTATATTGTAAAGATGTACAACTTGGAAAGCGGGATCGAAGTGTTGGTCTTTTATTTCGTTAATAAAATAGGAATCGACGTTAACTGTAATATGATCGATTGGCAAAGGAATACACGTGACGTCAGTAACACAATTAAAGGTTAAAAAAAAACATGTAGAAATGAAATAAACACATACCATTTAACCATTGCGAAGATGAAGCTTGTCCAGGAACGGAGACGACACATTGATAAAATTGATCTCCTCTTGCGTAAAGTAAGAATGCGAATGAATGACCTGTTGGTACGGCAAGGTTTTCTGGTACGGTTACGGAAGGTTGTTCTATGTAATGAAAGGATGTTCGAAATTAGTTTAACAACGTACTTGATGTCATTTGAATGTTTATTGATAATCATATATTTACAAATGATTAGTGGCAATATTTTATGCTTAAGAGAAGAAAAAAGAACATACTTGTTATAGTTCCAATGGTTTCAACTATCAAATTCGTAGGAGCTTTTGGAGCTTTTGGAGCTTCTTGACATGAAGCAAATTCTACTAAACTTAAAGATAACAAACTCACTATAAGTATTTTAAAGTAATATGACATCAAATTACAAATTTCCATGTTTATATCTAAAAAATTTCAACGAAAGGGGGGAAAAAAATTAATGAGAAAAGGAAAAAGAAAAGAAAAAGGGATGAAAGATTTAAAAGAAAATTATGCAAGTTTATTAACTTGAAATTTTCTCGAAACGATATAAAAATAGAAATAAACCAGATTCAGTATCGATGACTGAAAATAGAATATCTTAGCCGTTTTCGGTTTGACAATCATACAGATAAAATGTTGTATGTAACATAGTAACTTAAAATCGTGCATTTTTTTTCTTTCAATGGCTAAATCAGGCAGGTGATTCACTCTTCACGTAAATTTTTGTATTCCGTGTCAATACTTTTGTACTTTCATACACATTTTTAAAAATAAGGTTTTGATTTTACAATGGCATTTACAGAAAATAAAAAAAAAATTTAATCAATATCAGGCAAGATTGATTATCACAAAGCTTTAACTGCCCGATAGCAATATGGAACTACAAACATTGTTTTTGAGATTCATATAATCTAAAAATGTAATCGTTGGAATTACCTTCTTTAATTAAGAACAAGATGGAAGAATACATTATGTGCATATTGTGCATAGTGACACTTTTACACATTGGTCATTTTATATCATACTTTTTTTTTTTAAAAAAAAAACAAACTAAAGAGAGGCCATTTCCCCTTTTGCTTTATTATATTCATAAAAATACATTGAGTACATACATTATTTACTTATAATTTATATAAAAAATAAAATATATATAACAAAAAAAATGAAGGTATTTATTTATACTTGGTAAGGACCAGCCATGTGCGGAACGAATTGTTTGGTTGAATTTGAAACAGGAAGATTCACGAAAACGGTATTGGCCGTAAGGGTAGATAGTGCGTCCGATATATCGAGCTCTATCACGACATAGTCGGCATATCTCGGCTTGATCGACCCCTTCTTTACCTTGAATTTGGTGATGGCGGTGCACCACTCAATACTCCAGTTGGCGGTTGGGTTGTCTCGATTGTTATATTCAACGAACAAATTTCTCACGGCATCAGTAAAAATTTTGGCGCGAGTGCTCGCTATACGATCAATATAATATCCGCCCCCAAAAACTCCGACAAGAAAGAGTAAGAAGAATGTTCCACCAAGAAATGTACTTTTGCTAAATAACCCGATACTGATAAACAGTGTAATTACGATTGAAATGTACATGCAAATTCTCGCTAATCTCACATTCAACAAAGGACAGTCACGGATTCGATCATTAATTTCATTGACCCGCTTGTTCAACTCGTCACGAGTGAGAAACCCATGGAGATCAAGGTTCCAATCCGCGTGAAATGAATGTTTACGTGGGTTGAAAGAGATTACGCTGGTTTTCATGATGGGTAAGGTAGTAGGTGAACTCGTCAAATGAGTGAATGGAAGTGGGAATGTGTGAATGAGAGGTTATGATTTTAGAAATGGGGTTTGCAGTCAAAAGTTTCATGCTTTATATAAAATAATTACGAAATTGGTGTTTGTTACATTCTACGGCTAACGAAGCAAAAGTAATATCGTATCGTGAATAAGAAGAAACTTTATAGTCGATCGAATCATCAAATATAAATAATGTCGCAAAGTGGATTATTATCTTATATTCAAAAAGGGAATCTTTGTTTGAGTGGTCAACCTGCCAATAAATTCATTCGTTCACATTATTCCCCATTATTAATCCGGAAAAGGAAATCTTTTCCTTTGTTATTTTATTTCATGTTTGACGATACTTAATATTTGCAAATCAATTTTTTTGTGACTGACAAAGAAGAATTGGTTTGTTTATCCAGTATTATTTTTGACTTTTTAATTTATTTATAAGATTTCTTCCATCGATTATTTAATGATCTTATAGTTAATACATCTATAATTAACCCTAGGTCGTATTTGTCTTACTATGAAAAAAAAAATAAATTTGTCGGTCCGAAGCAATTTTTCCTTTTTTGAATTTCAATAAACTTGGATTTGATTACCGTACATGCTAGGTACTATTCAATCATAAATGTACCTGGGTATTAATCAATAATTGAATCGTCCCGGCCAAAAAATCACGTGGGATGAAAACCTTTGGTGGTACCCTTTGTTTATTTCAACAAAAACCGATTTATATAATATAGCATACACGAAAACTTTATTATTTTCAATGATATAAAAACTTCTGTCATTACTAGAATAGTACAAAATAAATATATTCACGGGCTTATAGATTAAGTTTTCTAGCAATATACATCACGTGATCTCGGAATCGTTCATCAATGGGAAAGTTCACGACCATGCCGTATTTTTTTGCCTTGCTACAAACCCCAAGTGGAATACTTGGAAAGACAAGTTTGATTAGCATTGATGTATGAAATCAAGGAGATTATCGAACCAAAACTAACTTTACTTATCTATCTCACAACTACATCCGTGGTTTAAAAATCGAATTCTTCATCCATTCAGAACTCACGTAAGCATGATTGCATCACAAAGATCTGTCAATGATATTCGGAAATTGCGGAAATTATCAAGTATTTATCAGCCTGAATTCAACTGGATTGGCAAGATCTATCTACAAGCACAAATGCACAGCCTCATTATATGCTGAAAATTTCGGTTATTATGCGGAAATTCCACATTCTCAATCAAATGCCTTGAAGCTAGAGAAAAACATCATAATAATTGACACACGTGGGAGTTTTTATAACATCAAGCATGTAATACAAGAATGCATTCCATTTCTCGGCTTCGTTTTGTCTTCCAAAACAGTATGAATATACGAAATGATTACATATGGGTCTTGATCATAGTTTTTTTCACAAGTGTAAACTTTTATTTCATACAAGTTCGGCTATAGAGATATTGAATTCTTCATCAATTTCATTACCGATCGTTGATTAAGATTGCTAATCCAATAATCGAATTTTAAGATCACATAAAGGTTAACCTGAGCGTAATACTTTCGAATTATAAACCCTGTAAAGAAATAACCAGGAAGAAAAATCATTGATATCGATATGCATTTGCAAAATGGTAAAAAAGAGCCAACCCTTTTGCTTATTCTTGATTACCCCTCAATGATTAGCAATGAAAGTCAATTTCTAAATATTTTTTAGTTGAAAGACAAAATCGATAACAGATAGTTAATATGATTCGATTAAATATATGCTTATATAATGAAATTCTTACAAAAATCATATTATTTTATGCTTCAGAACTTACAGTCTATTACAATATCTCATATATTAGGATTTTTTTATAGTAGATAAATTTTTACGAAAATAAGCTGAAAGATAATCTTAAATAATCATATAAGCTTAAAATAATTTTACTTCAGGATTTTTCCTAACTTCATTTATGTACTTGAAGCATATAAAGAAATTACAAAGTGATTCTGAGTAACATACTTCAATTACTATTGTAAAAATTTTGATGAAGTTTTGCTAATGCTATTAATACTGATTTTTTTCCTTCCAGTTTGCAAGGTCAATTCCATTTTTCAAACTGTTCTTTCTCGGCTATCTTTGAATCACAACTGATTGTTCTTGTGTTAGACCTAGTCCAATATCATATAAATATTTTGAAATAACTATTGCTTTATAAAATATAATATATGTAAAAATTACATGAACAGTGTATATGATTTGATCTTTAAGTTCCTTATCTTAAAAAATTCATTAACAAAACTCACATGCATAAGCAAGAATTTCTATAGCAATTTGTGATTTCCTACAATTAGTAAGATAACTAGTTTGTCTAACATTTTTTAGATGTTTATTCTAAAAAAGATATTTAGTTAACAAACATATTGGCTAGTCAAACAGTAAACATACAGACCTTCACAGCCATAAAAACTATTTTTTCTGTATTAATTATATAATCTAATATTGCTATAATAAAATATTATTAATGTGTAGTTTATAATGTGATTTAGATCTAGATTTGTATTCAATATTGACTTAAGAAATATCAGAGTATATAAACAAGACATTTTATTAATACTTACTTAAATAAAAATTTATATTGATAGCATGATTTAAAATATTGATTATCAATGTGTCAGTTTTAAAATCATTTATTTCTACATTAAGACACAAGTTTTCAATAATTTCATGCAATAATAAAAGAAATGATTTGATGAGATTTGAAATTTTATCAAAATTGTTAACATTAAAATCACTACTTTTAAGTATATTGCAATTGATTTCAGAGAGAAACTATTCATTTAAAAGGTTGATAATAAGATATTTAATTATTAGTATTAGATTAATAAAGAGAAATTTTGAGACATGTAATTTATACCTTTAATATTAAATATTACATCATTCTCAGAAGCTTGCTGAAAGCTTACTCTTAATATTTCTATATATTTCTTTTTAAACTTACATACTAAAGAAGGTAAGTATTTAGAATTGAGCTTAAGTTTACAGATTTCACTCACAAACTATCATTGTAAAATAATAGAAGAACTCTCAAGAGCTCATTAAATGAATTAAGTAAAAAATAACTTTCACTTTCACTTTCATTTTTTTGTTTCTGTGAAGTTTATTTTTTTTATAGTATAGTTCAAACAGTTATGAATAGCATGATAAAATTTCTTAAATGATTATTAGTTATACAAATTATTTATATAGTATATACAATAGCATGTATATGTAAATCATAATATATCATACATAAAATTTTACAAAAACATATTTCTGTTACTTCTTTATCATAATATGTATTATAATCTCTAGAATCTCTTAATTTATAATAATTTACTTAGATGAGAGTTTTGATTAACCATTATTGTATTGTGAATTTTTACAATTTCTTAAAGTAAACAGATAAGTTATTATTATTATATTTTTGTTTAATAATTTTATTTATAATACAATTATTAATATAATTTAATCTTTATTTTTATATTATTATATTAAGTATAAAGTTTATTAGATGAAAAAATTATTATATAATTATTATCATGATTTATATTATCATTTACTGCTGCTAGTATGGTAAATATATTTATTTATTCATTTATTAGTTCTTCTGACTCTTCTTATTCCTCTTCATTATTTTCATCATCTATGTTATCTTTTGTAATTATATCTTTTTCTTTTTCAATACTTTTTAAAAATGAATTTACATTTTTAAAATACCATTTTTATAATAATTTTTTCAAATAAATATAACTTCTATCATAATAAACTGGATAATAACTATGATTACAAGCTAATATTATACTATTATTATTTAATTAGATTTCAAAATGATTACATAATCCTGATCTTAATAAATGCAATGTATTGTATACTATTAAAAGATAATGTAAGTCTATTTCTTTTATAAAATTACTAGTTTGTATCTTTTTAAATTTTTTTAGCATTATATATTGGAATACTATTATTTTTATTATGAAATATGCTACAAAAATAATTTAGTAGAAAAATACTAATTTTATCAGATAAAAAATTAAGTGTAGATAAATTATATAGATAATAGCAGATTTTGCAATATATATCTTTAAAAATAGGATTATAATCCGCTATTTATATTAATATTAAAAATAAGAATAATATTAAATTTCCAATAAAATATAAATTAATAAATATATATCAAAAACATATACGTGTTTTATTATATTTTCAACATATATTTAAAGATATATATACTTTTATTCTACTATAAATATTTTTAATATAATAATCATTAAAATATAATAAATAATTCTTAATTGCATTAGCAAAAATGATAATTATTTATCTAATAAAATATATCTGATAAAATATAAAAGAGTTTTTAATATAATTTTTTCTCTTTTAATATAAAGTAAATATCTAAATACAAAATACATTTTCTATATATTTTTTAAATAAACTAGATTAAAATAAAATTGCATAAATATCAAGTATTGCTGAAATTAAATTATCTAATAAATCAATTGTTGCTTCAACATCTTTATATACTAAATCAAATTTTTTCATGATTTTATTTTTAATTTTAATTCAACAATTTCATTCAAGTTCTAAAAGAAGATTAATTTTCTATAGCTTAAGTTTCTTTATATTTACTAAATACAAAATGAAATATTTGTTCAAAAAAGAAATGATATATTATTATAACATATTTTCTACTATTAAATAAAAAGTAAAGTAATTCTAATATTATTATAAATGATTTAATTTCTTTTGAAATAATAGATTGTAATCTTAATGTATGCAAATATGCTAATACTTTTCTGATAAATAGCTATCTAGACCAATCTGTAACAATTAGAGCAATTTGATTTTTCAAATGTTTTATTTTTTTACTTATAGCTAAAATCATTTGTAATACATTTAAATAATTCTACATTAAAATGTAAGTATTGCTTATTAAAATTA